TGTCTTCATCACTCTGTCATTTCTAAATGCTAAATACGTTGAATGTTTTCAAGCTAACTGTTAACGTGAACGAACTATGTTAAGTAATATTGTGTTACACAGTGTTACATGTGGGATGCCAGCGGTGTGATGTGATATACTAAAATGATTTTAATCAGCATTTTTGCTTATTCTTTTATCCATACAGCTTTTATGATTGCTAAATTAAAGACTACATGGAATATTTGTACTTTTTAATCTTTTGATCGGCAAGATTATTTAAAATAAGCTATTGAGGGAAAAGGACAATTAAAATAGAGGGTGGAAAATGTCTCCACGTTACGCATGTAACCATGGGTCCCCGAAGGGAACGAGACGCTGCGTCGAAACACTACAGGAACGCCTCCAGCGTGACCACGCTCTGAATCACATGTGTAATCAGTCCAATGGATGGGTGAGACGTCACAGGCGGGGTGACGTAGCGACCAGGAAGCATAAAAGCACGTGCGGTGAAACCGGCGTCAGCTTCTAGGAGTGAAGCAAGCACTGGCAGGCATGCCAGAAGTATGGTCCTGAGACGCAGCGTCTCGTTCCTTTCGGGGAACCATGGTTACATGCGTAACCTGGAGACGTTCCCCTTCAGGAACTTGAGCTGCGTCGATACGCTACAGGAATGAGAATGCCCACGCCACCAGACTTGCAAATCCCTGCCTAGTGTGGAAGAACACAACTAAGGCGAGAGAAACGAGAGCCAGTAGTGGCTAAAGTAGGCGGGGCCCGCCGGTCCGAAGGCCAACTTCTGGAGGAGTGAGCCTTGACCCCTGAAGGAGAGGGGAGATCAGAGGACTCAAGGCTATGGAGACATACGTGCCTGCATCGTGGTCGAATCCCACACCACGCCCAGATAAGTGGTTCTCTGTACTGGAGAAAGCACACTTTTCTTGGCATTAAGTCTTAACCCCAGCTCTTTCGTGTGAGCGAGAATGACATCTCGATGTCGAACCGCCATCTGCTCTGATTGAGCTAATATCAACCAATCGTCGATGTGGTTGAGTCGTGAAAGTGTGGGGTGAGAGTGCAAGGCCAAAGGAAGAACCCGGAATTGGTAGGCTTTTGCCCCCAAAAGCAAACCTCAGGAACTTCCTATGATGAGGAAGGATGCCCT